AAAAAAAAAAAAAAAAAAAAAAAAAAAAAAGCCACCCCCAAATCCTACTTTTTTTTTTTTTTACAGTGCTTACGCAACTGCACAGCCCCCAACCCCCTACAAACCTTAGCTCTAATTGTTCTCTCCCTCCCATATTAGAATGTTTGAAATTAATCTTTTATTTAAATGTGATTTCTTTCCTAGTCCAGCAACACTAGAATAATTTAGCCTTGGAAACCCCAACTCTGAATGACTATATTTCTATTTACATAAAAATTGCTTCCATTTAGTATATGCACAACCTCTGCGCTCAAACTCTCAAATCTTATCGTCAAAATGTACCCAACTATTCAAGCACAATTTGTACACCACCCCTGGTACCACTACTTAAGCAGCTATAAAGCATGATGTGCGTAATGCAGCTAGCATGGAGGAAATATTGTGGAAGGAATTTCCAAGTTTCTTTAGGTATGTGGTCATATTCTTTAGACTCAAAACCACAGATTACTCTTTGTATTTTAAAAGTCCATTACAATACCGTAAGAGAAACTGTTTAAGTAGACATGTCGCTTTACTATAGCACACTGCTGACACCTCCCCAAATCAGAAGTGCTTGTTGCATGGTAAAATGGTTCAAAAAAACAGTGTTAAGCGCCACATATCTATTTTTAAAGTTAACTTCCTAAATTAATTCAACCAAGGTGAAGGAAGAGAAAAAGCAATTTATTTAAAGGAAGTAATAGATTAAAATAAAGATCTTTATATAACGATTGAACAAGTATTAGAGAAATAATAACACTCTTCCAGATTTCAATCTTCCTAAAAGTGCTTCTAAAAGTTTTATCACTCACCATTCCAGTTTTGAAAACATACAGACTGGGATAACTGTTAATCCCTTTAATTCGACAAAGCATTCTATTATCTCCACAGTTGACAGCTCCAATGCGTATTACTCCATCCATCTCCTTAGCAAACTCCCTCCACTAGAAAAAAGGGGGAAAAAAAAAAAAAAGGAGGATATTTTCCTTTAAAGATATAATGAAAAATCAGCACGTTTTATTCCTGGCATCTTAAATTTTTGTCTTTGGTTTCAGCTTCAGTGTAAAAATCCACTTCATTAAGTTCTATGCTGTTAAACCCAATGAATTTTCAGAGTTAATTTGCTTGTTATACATACCGTAGGTGCTAAGTCATGGCAGTGGGAGCATCGAGGAGAATAAAAATTCACAAACCACAGTTCTCCTGAGTTAACAGCAGCATCTAGATGGAAGAGAAGAAAATCTTAAGTAATACATATCTACAATGTAGTTATATCTAGAATGTGCATTTTTACTGTATTGTTATCCCCCAAATTAACTAAACAGAATTAAGTATTAATGGCAGACACAGTAATTCAGATGGGATAAAGATTGCACCTCACTTGCACATACTTGCTGCTCTAGGCAAGTGCACAAAAATCATATTTCAGAGGATATCAGCACCCTGACTTTCAACATCTGTTCCATTAATTAACAACGAACACACTCTCTACAGACTACACTATCACACATTTCAGCTAGATTCTGTCCCATTACCTTAAAAACAAAATAGAGGTTCTAAAAGACTTTTACCTACTAGAACTTTCCATTTCCTTATATCACTTCACGTGTTTTCTGGGTTCCACTAGGCAATCTTTTTATGTAGGGTCCCTGTCTAATACATGAAAATGCAATTTAAAAATCCCAGTTAATATAATTACTAGGAAAGCCAAGGGAAACATATTTAAATACTCTTGCTTATAAAAAACCCCCAATGGCAACAAAATATACACACGCAGTGGTTATCAGCTTGAATTACATGGCTTTGAGACTCTCCATTATTTTTGGACATAATTCTTATAGTGAATTTTCTAAGTTGTATTTGCCTATATTAAAATATCCTCGCAAACAAGACAACTCAGGAATGTGTAGATTCTGCAAATCAATTAACCAAAGCAAGACCAGGTTCTCATGGAGACCATCATGAGGTTCTGCTCTCAGAACAGTTTACAAAACTGGTTCAGCATGTAGATCTAGTCTGTGAAAAGGAAACTGTACTCAAAATGCAGATGAAAACAATCACACAAAATCCAGTGTGTTTTCTCTCTAGTCTCTTTTAGTTATAAACATCTTGGCTATAACTTTGAAAGAAAAAAACTGGATGATAGCCTCACTGAAAGCTTTATCTTTCCTGACCTTGTTTTGCTTAGCTGTGTTTTTTAGTATCTGGTATCACCTTCTGGTCTGGAACCTCTGTGCAAGACTGGATTTCACAGAAAAAAATGAATAGAAAAAGTAGTAATAATAAATTAGGAGAAACAAAATTCTAATTCAAATAATTTCCTCTTACAGATCTCCAAGAATACCTTTCAAACCTAATCTAAACTGTTTATTGATATTGATCCGTTTGCTAACTAGGATTTACCAGGAAGCGTTAAGGGGCACTTTTTTTGTTTTGTTTTACTCATCTGAAGATTTTCTGACAGTTTTTTGTCTAGATATGTAATAGACTTCTATAGATACAGAGCTCAGAATGTAAAAATTGTTACTTTGGGTTGCCATGTTGTCAAACAAATAGTTATTTATTTCAAACTTACCAAATTCTCCTCTATCCAACGTTATAATTTCAGGATCATCATCATAAATACCTATTAAAAAAACCCAACGACTGCTTTTTATTTTTGCCATCTTTAAAATGAAGAAACAAACTACCATCTATTCACAAGACAGAAAACGGAAGACAGTACCCTTAAGTAGTAAGCTTGCAAAGATAGTTTTTACAACAAAGCTGTATTTGCTTAGCAATAAGTAAACTTAGTTTAATCTCTTACTAACTCCCACACCCTCATGCTACAGAAACCACCATCAGAACAGAGCAGTTCTTTTGGTGTTTTAGTAGACCAGCCACTGAGTGAGCAGAGAACTTGAACTACCAGTGTTATGACAAGAGCATTAGAAATACCATCAACCGGTTGCCAGATTAAAATTCAAGAAGCTTCGGCTCTCAGTGAGAGTGCTATAAGTAGTGTCTGTAAACTTTCACTTCTTCTCTCAGCCTCTGGTTATCTAAACTGTTTAGATCACAAAGGCATGTCAGCCAGAAGCTTTCCCACTAACCAAAGGTGTGAACACAGTGGAATAAAGTGGACAGAATAAAGGTAAGGAAGACTGCTTTTCTAACCAGTCCTACCTACAACATCACTAAAAAAGTCTACTACTTCAAGTACGCAAGAAAGGCAGTGCAGCGATACTAAAAATACTATTAAATATCATTATATTATGCTATTATGGCTACAGATCTTTTACAGTACCTAACATGGTGAGATGCCATTTCACCTGAGGTATACAAGTATTACATGCAAATAAATAATGAGAGAAATTAATTTCTAGAGGTGCCATATTACTATCCATCTACATATCAAGTAATATAATACATAGACTCACCCATACATATATAAAAATATCTATATTTATATATATATATACACACACACTTATAAAATGTAAAAATATAACTATAGATACTCTCCAAATAGCTGGTTAACAAATATTCAAGGATATTATTTCTCAATCAAGCAGTGCAACTTCAGGCAGATAAAGAGATTTAAGAAGTTTTATCTGCCTGAAGTTCTAGGATAATTTCCATATTTTCTTGTGATAGTTGCGCCTCTGGTTTATTCAGTTTCAATTTGTACAGACATTAATTTTTTAGAGATTGTGACATCCTAAATCAAACTACACCAGAAAAAAATTTTGCCATGGTGGAGGTTCATTTCAGCTTCTTCTTTTCATATCAGCCAAGCCATGTTCGTCAGCTCCCTATTTAAGCTTACTCCTGTTACAGCAGCTCTGAGAATGGTTCATCCCAGCCTTTCCCTAGAGCCACCTAAAAATTTGTTGAGATAAGCATTAAATAACTTGTCTCAAGATCATTTTAGGTATGATTCTGTTGTTATTTTTTAATTTTCTACTAGCTCTTTACTGATCTCTAATCATATAACTGCATATAAAATAGGCTCAACAGTGCAAAAACCTCTCAAAATCCACTTGAGAAGACTTTATCTGAACAAAAAAGGTCTTCCTGCACTAAAGAGTTAAAAGGGATACTGATGAAACATTACCACAGGAATTTAAGTGGACAAAAAAGCTTTGCATTTAAAAAAAAAATGAACAAGAAGTTAGGTGACCAATAAAAAGGTAAGCAGTAGGAACAAAAGGCTAGGTAAATAGATTATCGAATTTTTGGTATTTTTGGGTAGCCATTTACAGGGTAAGGAAATGATTGGGTCAGCAGCAAGAAAACAGCTACAGGAGAAAAACAGAGCAGTCATTAATCTGTAAAAAGGTCTGTTACAGATTTGAATATTCCATTTAATTGTGACGGTTTTAAGCACATCACAGACATATAACTCACCAAAATCATAGCGATAAAAGTGCCAGCTTTCATAACGACCTCCTTGCTGCTGATCTTCAAGACCTTTCTCTCCATATTTATCATACTTCTTCCGTAGATCTTCATCTTTAAGTACTTCATATGCTCTATTTATTTTCAAAAAATTTTCATGTGCATTTGGATCATTCTAGGTAAAGAAAACTATAATTAGTAACTAATTAATAAACCATATTGTAAGTGTAATGCTGAGAAAATAGCATTTGGAAATATTTTTATATCCCTACTTAGGATGTCAGTTGTGATGGAAGCAGACATTACACAGTGATCTGCAAACTACATTAAAATTTTACTTTCTTGAAGCCAGATGCATCTTCTCATTTCTTCATCCCCACTAAGGTACTAACTGCAATACAAAAGGAGCTGGTAGGAGGCTGTTACATTCTCCAGTGATCCCTCTTCTTTCAACTCTATTTCTTCAATGGAAGAAAAGAAATAAGTAGTCAAGAATGAAGACTTACCATTTACTTTGTACGCTTTTCTACTCCCCTAGAGTCCCTACTCATCCAGTTTGAAAGTCTCTGCTATAGAGACAGATTCATGGCTTCTTATTATATGGTGTAGATAGAGGCCCTCTTTTTTGTTTAAAAAGCATTCTGCTTCTAGGTATCTTTAGAATTAGACCGGTGAAAAATCTGCAAATGCATTATGAACATCAGTTTGAGTTCCGAGTTGGTGCAGTATAACAGTGATGAGCAAAATCTGCAGCACTCTCCCACCCTTTTAACTTCTGCTTACACATTTCATTCAAAAGATTTTTTTTTTCTTGAAGATTCTTGACTTATTTACCTAGATACACAGGAAATTAATTACCATTATGGAATTTGTGTAATAGCTTCATGTTCTAAATATCACCTTTAATGTTGAAAATAACCAATTGAGAAATCTTTAGTAGTATTTGCATACTTGGAAACTACAGAATCTGACCCAAAATGTTATTAAGTTTGAAGGTATTGACACAGGGAAAACAAAACTCGCAGTTAATAGCTACAAGTTGGCATTTCTAACTTTGTTGAGATTTGGCTTTCTCTTTGAGCTTTGCCATGTTCAAATCCATTACAAAACATTCGTGCCTCCAGAGGCTTCAACATACTCTGTGCAGGAGGGTCCTGAGCTCATATGGAACATTACTGTCTTCCAGGCTCCGTGCATGTGTAGTTGCATGTATAAAGATCCAGACCCTCATATTTCCTGTGAATTTCTGGTTATTTCAGGAAACTTTGAGGAAAAACTGATGATGTTTAAATTTAAAAGTGATGTCTTTGTACTTCAGAAAATATGGTAGCACAGACTGAGCCATTCCCAGTCTTCTCTCTTGTTATTCTAGAGCTCCTTATTACCCTCCCTAGGCCTTGGCAGTCCCATTCAATACTTGGAGATTGATGTCTCAATACAGGCTGGTGGCGTTTGCTGCTTAGATGAGACTTCATGTTAGGGAAACAGTAAATTCCCCTAAGCTCAATGGAAAGTGACAAACTCATCAGTTTGCCAACAAGGTAATAGGGTACAGACATAAATTTTCATCTATTTACAAAAATATAATCACAAAATAAATGACCTGGATTTTTGCCTTTTTTTTTTTTTTTACTAAAGCAATTTAATACGGCCCAAATTCAACACAACCATGTATGTTCAATCTACACCTTTTAGGAAATTTTCTCTTCAGAAAGTCTGAGCTGAACCATGTTATCAGGTGGTTACATTAATTCACAAGAACAGAGAAACACTTTAGATAACCAAAAAGTGGTTTTAATTTAAACATTACGATCCATTAACTCAACGGCTTTGATCCGTAGCTTACTGTAACTTAAGATGTAACTTACCTGATTTTTATCAGGGTGCAACTTTAATGCCAGTTTTTTGAATGCCTGTCGTATTTCTCTACTACTTGCCTCTTTGGTTACTCCAAGTAAACTATAGTAGTCCTGAGCAGTGCACACAAGAACTATTACACATACTAAAACCAGCAATAAAGATCTTTTGAAATATCTAATATAATCTCCTCTGGATACTAAGGACTCCATTATGAAGCTTTTGGAAAATTTACAGGTTCCAATTCAAGCAGGCTTTGGGAAGAAGTCTCCAGTAAATCTGGCACTCTTCAGGGATACAGCTGTACTTGTGACAGAGTTTCTTCAAAATGCTGGTGGTCCTCCTTCATGTCACAAGTACTGCAAAAGTTACAACCTAGAAGAAAAGGGAGGAAGAAACAATTAAGTAGTTTCCTACTTATTCAATAAATATACGTTAGCAGAGAAGCCCACCGCCAGCTTGTGCAGGCTGCACACGAACACGAAGCCTCCTGGAGGCCGATGACCTGCTTTCTGGCTAGCACACAAGTGTCGGGCCATCTCTTTATTATGTACATTATGCGTGAGGTAACCCCGCAAAGCTTTGCTGAATGACACTAGAGACCAGCCACTTCTATCACACTAAAAAAAGCGGTTTTACTAGGGCTCACTTTTTCAAACTTACTTTTAGTGCTGCAGGGGGACACTTCTTCCGAAAGGACCGGGGCGCGCTCGGCGCCAGCAGCC